GTTGTATAGATAATGGATGGATGGATGGATGATTTGATTTGAATAATCAATTACACTAGACTAACAAAATACACAACAAAACAGAAATGCAGGTCTTTAAAAATAGGTGTTAAGAAGGGATTTAAAACACAGCTCGTAATTCCAAAAGTGAGGGGCCCTCATGGCAAAAACAAGTTCTGGTGATGGATTTTCTGTTTAATGACAGAGGACCAAGGCTATTATCACTAAATATTTTTTGTGTTTCTGGAACTGAACAAAATTATGTCAGATGTTAAACTGGGTAACTGAAGGGATTTCTGTGCCATTCAACAGTTGACTTCTCTAAGACTGTTAGAAACAGCAGCTAGGCTTCTTGGATCACTAGGTCTCAGTGGAACGTATTTCTGTGTGTCATCTGCATAGTAAGTAGAAGATACACTGTGCCACTGGATGATTTGAACAAGAGGAAGCAAGTAAATGAGGAATAATGGGACCTATCATTGAACCATGTGACTTACCACAGAGAATTTTAGTTGTAGAGGATGAGGGATTACCTACGGTGACTGCATAAGTTCTTTAAAAAAAATGAAATTAAACCAACTAAGTGCATTAACCTTGATGCCAACCCTGGACTTCAGACAGTGAATTAAAATGGCGTGTTCAGCTGTGTCAAAGGCTACATTTGTGTTGAAAAGATTACAAAAACAGTGCTGTCTTTCCTTTTCTCTCTTTTCTTTACTTTCTCCTACAATCTGTCTTTAGGAGAGCAATCGTCTGTGTTAAAATGAGAAGTAGTGGCAGTTATAGGAGCAGCAGTAAAAGGTTCAGAAAACTTGCTAGTGGACAATGAATTGAAAAGCCAGTGGCAACTGGCTGTAAATTGTGGACAGGCAGATGGGATAAAGCAACATTGCATAAAACCGGTCTGTGATCAGACACACAAATATCCTTTGTCCTAAAGTTGTTGGGGCTGAGACCTTCGTTTAAAACCAAGTCAAGGATGTGACTTTTAAAATGTGTGGGTTCGTGTACTGCCTTTGTTTGAGTAGGGATTTTAAGATTACCTAAAAAAGTTAACAAAGTCTGCGATGGGCAGCATATATGTATGTTAACGTAACCTGAACAAGGACTTTTGTCATACTTTGACAAAAATTGGGACAACAGTTTGGTTTGGCTTGTATTATTATTAAAATTACCACTGAATCTTTGGACTGTACTATAAAACCTACGTGTTCAAAAGATGTAACTCTAGGATGTAGGACAGAGGTGCATTTAAACTCTTTCTTGTAAATAACAACAACCCCCCTTCTTTGCCTGACAGCCCGGGTTGATGGAGGTGTTGTAGTTAGGGGGGTGTTTTTGGGCAGCCTGACATTTGAAAGACCAAAATCTGCAATGGATCTTTAGTTTGAAATAATTGTGGCTGGCCTCACCCAAAACAAGTCAAAGTTGTTATTGTAGGGAATTCCATGGGGGGGCATAATAGTCCTTTAGCCAGATGTGTAGTGAAAACAGTGCTGACAATCTTTGAATTCCTCTTTTGTGGGTTGGGATGGGCCTGAAATAATCATCTTATTACCAGTTTTCACCAGTAAGTGAGTGATTAAAAATCTTCACTTTGACATGAAAGAGTCTTTTGTTGGGGAAATTATCTTCCAAAAAGCTAAATAACCAAGATTCAGTCTTGAAGAGCAATACAAGGGGTAAACTTCCAAGGTTGGTAAATACTTGTTATAGGCACTGTAGCGCCTACCTAAACATCGTTGCAGACCATGTCCACGCTTTCATTATGACGGTATCCTCTAATGACAGTGGCCTCTTTCGTCAGTGTTGACTTGGCCGCCAAATGCTAGAGATCAGCAGAATCTGTTGTTGTTGTTGAAAATGTTCAGTCTTTCTGTAATTTCTAAATAATTTGAATGTTAGAATGCCTAATGTGGAAGAAGACAAGGAAAACACAAACAGTGTGCTTGAAACTCTGTTGAAGTGTGTTTACATTATCCTGGTGAGACGCTGAGTGTCAAACAGCCATAACGGGATACCAGTAATAATGAAAAAATGACCAGGGGATGTATCAGCATGGAGTTACAGTATATGTCTCTCTTACTTTTACAGGACCTCTATGGTTTTATTTGTAAAATCACAGTGGCCTCAGGCCTCAGCATTAAAAACCTGTAGATTGTGCTGAATTTCTTTCATTTTCCATTTTGCTCCAGGATGTTCTGTACACCGTATGTAACCCCATCGGCAGCGTGCTTAGGATTGTCATCTTTAAACGAAATGGAATCCAGGCCATGGTGGAGTATCCTTTCTGGATGGGTGAATGTGTGTGACTCAGGTAGAGCCATGCTGCTTGCATGGTTAGCAACTTGGAGTCTGTTATGGGGGACAGCAGACTCCATGCCTTACATCTGTCTCTGCCAAAAAAAAAAAAACCCAACAAACACTTTTTCAGACATTTATACTTTTGGCTAGTATTTTCTCTTGAAGAAGACAGACTTTAACTTGTACTACGTTAAGTTTGTTTTTTTGTTATTTGTTGGAAACAGATGCACTGTCAATTCTAGCTCCTATTTCTAGGTGGCTTAAAAGCTTTTTTTTAAATTTTGCTTTGGGTAAAAGTATGTGGCAAATAATGTAATGTGTGTATTTGTGTGTTGGAGTGTGTAGTAGCCTCTCTTTAACCCTGCTCCTCCAGGTTTGAGTCTATTCAGTGTGCTCAAAAGGCCAAAGCAGCTCTAAATGGAGCTGACATCTATGCTGGTTGCTGTACCCTCAAGATTGAGTATGCAAGGGTAAGATGCACAAAACACATCAAAACAGCTAAAACCTGGTGCCATTCTGTAATGTTGGTATTAACACTGATGTGCTGAAACTGCAGGTTCCTTAAGACGTACCTTTCACTCATGTCATCTGTGTAGCTAGTCTCTTCTGTCTCTTTCTGACACCACGTGACTGGCCAAGACAAAAAACAAACAAGCAAAAAAACCTGTTGGTTAGAAATACATTAAAGCTTAGAAAAGGTGTTTTATGTTCAAAAATCAATTAAACAACTGCAAAATAGGATATTTGTGGGAGAGTCTCAGTATGTTAAAGTAAGAAGTACCATTAATAATTTTGATAATTTGAGAAGAACAGATACCTCAGCCTGACACGAGTCAGTTCTGTAACTTGCAGCAAACGTTTTTTCCGTTTTCCACGTCACAAAAGGAAGCAGTGTGTTTGAGGTGTGCCTTAAAATACATTCACAGGTGTGCCTCCAATTAACTCAAATGTTGCCAATTAACCTATCAAAAGCTTCCAAAGCCATGACATCATCTGGGTTTTCCCAAATAGTTTGAAGGCATAGTAGTCTTAATGTATGTAAACTTCTGACTTCCAAGAAAGTAATTCAATTCAATTCAATTCAATTTTATTTGTATAGCGCATATTTACAACATCAAGTCATCTCATAGCGCTTAACAAAGGCAGAAACAGAAACACCCAACAATCCAAAACATTTGGATTCCCTGTAAGCTTCAGCAGTCCGAAAGCAGTCCGCAACAGTGGGAAGGAACCGAAAACCCCCGCAGGGGAAAAAAAAAACCTCCGACAGAACCAGGCTCAGAGAGGGACGGCCATCTGCCTCGACCGGTTGGGTGGATGTGGGATGAATTATAAAATTTAGTGAAACAAGTTATTAGAAGTTATTGTCCTTTTGTAACAGGAGGCATCATGGTGGGGCAGCAGGATACAGAAGGTGAGGCCAATGGCTGTAATTCAGGAGCTCCAGATCCAGAGACATCCACAGAGAGAGCAGGCGCAGGAGAACCTCGGGGGGAGTCACAGAGTTAGTCATATGTAATGGTGATAGGCAACTATAGAAACATATACATACATACACATATGTATATATATAAAGAGGAGAGGAGAGAAGCCCAGTGCATCATGGGAATCCCCCGG